CAGGGGGGTAGGCAAACCCTAAACCCTAAACCCTAAACCCTAAACCCTAAAAAATAACCCCTTAGTTAAGGGTTGCATGGTTAGCAGCTCCTCGGCCCTCTGTCGCGAGTGGAGTTTAGGGTTGAGGGTTGGCCCCCCGAAACCCTAAACCCAGAACCCGAAACAAACCCTAAACCCTAAACCCTACATAAACCCTAAACCAAAAATAAACCCTAAACCCTAAATACACCCTAAACCCTAAACCCTAAATAAACCCTAAGCCCCAAACCCTAAACCAAAAATAAACCCTAAACCCTAAATACACCCTAAACCCTAAACCCTAAATAAACCCTAAGCCCCAAACCCTAAGCCAAAAAATAAAACCCCAAACCCTAAACCCTAGACCCTTTTACGACTTGGTCTGCATGGCTGGAGGAGCCGAGGGTTCAAACAAACACTTCCCAGTTCGCACATCGTTAAATATGCCGATGCCGATGGAATACATAGGAGTTCCCTAGACCAGAACCCTAAACCCTAAACCCTAAACCCTAAACCCTAGACCTTTCTTTAAAAACTTTAGTATCTGACGATGGGGCCTACACGCTTCGAGGGTTTGTCTGGCTGCATGGCTGAAATGGTCACAAAGAAGACAGAGGTTCCTGCCATCTCTGATCTTCATGGTCTAGTGTTTAGGGTTTAGGGTTTAGCCAGTGGGTACACTGTTCGGGCTTGCTGCCCACAGGTGGGGTTTTCGCTCATCCTTGTGGGTCTCGACTTCTCTCAAAGCGTCCAGCCTCTTTTCCTTGCCGTTGTCTCTGCCGGTGCTGTCTTCCCCCCAACCCTTGTCGAGGTGATCGCAGGTAGCATCCTGTGGTCCGAAGTCCCAATACTATGTGGGTAGTTTTCTAAATTAGGGTCCCTTTTAGGGTCCTTTTTATAAGGGTGCCGTACTATATTGGGGACCTAAAAAGGGAGCCGAATTTAGAGAACTAGCCATATATCTGGCTGCCCGTTTAGCATGGCTGATTTGTATGGGGTTGTCGTGATGTCCTCTTTAAGTTGTCTGCAATTTGTAGTCTTACGCAGCTGGCCAAACATCACATGCCTCGCTTAAACTTCCTGAACCCTAAACCCGAAACCCTAAACCCTAAACCACTAACTACATTCTGCACCCAAGAGTTGTATCCGGGCAGGTCAATGCCCTCAACTGTCGCGGCGTGTCCGGGTCTCGGTTCTGGGGTTCAGGTTTAGGGTTTAGGATTGGAGGTTTGGCAGCTAAGCCCTAAACCCTGAACCCTGAACCCTAAACCCCAAACCCTGAACCCTAAACCCTAAACCCTAAACCCTGAACCCTAGTCTGGTTTCGAGGGTTCAGGGTTTAGGGATTAGCGGGGTCGCAGCAGGTCAGTCGCCAAGGGTTTGGGGTGAACAGGGGTTTGGGTTTTACCTATAGTCTCCATTGTGGTTCTCTTTTTTGGGTTTAACCAATATTCTACTAAGGATCCTATAAGGTACCCCAAAAAGGAACTACAATGGAGACTATAGGTAGGGCTTCGGATTCAGGGGTTAAGACGTGCGCGTTTCGGGTTTAGGGCAGGGTCTCCTTGTGGTATCGGAGGGTGCAAGTGGTAGTTTTCTTCTCTGCTAGGTGGAGGGAAGGGTTTGGGGGCGCAAGTTCAAGGGATCCGCATCTTTACGTCGTACATTTAAAGGGTTTAGGGTTTAGGGCTGAACCCTTCAAACATAGCTAGGCGCGACATGCAAGCCTGATGTAAAAGGGCTTAGGCTTAGGGTTCAGGGTTCAGGGTTTAGGACCTCTAGTAGGCTCAAGCACTCCTTCACCTGGTTGTCTGCAAACTGGGAGCAATGTCGCATCCAAGGCGTCGACTTCGACGAGAAGACGGAACTGCCGTCGGGTCCAATGAGGTCCCGCGATTCGAGAAACCGGCGGTCAAGAAGGACCACGCAAGGAAGATGGAACAACCCTCCAAAGCGCCCGAGGCTTAGGCAGTAGAGCCAGGCCGCGGTTTCAACTATGACTTTGCCATCGACAAAGATCAATGGATCCGGCACTTTTACCGTTGTGCAATGGCGGCGGAGGCAAAGCTGGCGGAAGAGCGAAAACAAGACAGTTCCAGCAACTACGCTTTCTGCGCCATCCCAATTCCTTGTGGTTCTGCACATTCTATTTCTAGTTCTGAAGATTGTCGCTACCTGCTTCATGCTTCTGTTTCTGTCCCTCCTCCGGTTGCATCCCTCGTTAAACGAGAAGGCCCTGTTGTTGAGCTGTGTTCGCTGGCACACAATCCAAACCCATGCTGAAAAAGGACCTCTAGTAGTACACGAATAGCAGTTTGAAGGTTTAGGATTTACACTGCCCTCCGACCTGCGCAATCTTCAACCCCGGGAGCCAGATCCGGCGCCCCCTCACCATGAATCTTTTGGTTCTAGGTCCCGAGGCCATTAAACCTGACGCACGTCACGCGGTTCTATGTCCCGATGCGATAAGTAGCACCAAACCCTACATCCCGAATGAAGGCATGCTCGATTCAGGGCTCTATGTGGCGACGTGCAGTGGAAAAGGTTTGTGCATCTGGGGATATTGTGGTTGGTCAATTTTTGGAGGTCGGCATAAGTAGTACCTAGTAGCACTATCCCCTTTTCGCCCATATAAACCAATGATACTCGAGTATAAATTGCGAAACCTTATTCTAGACATAAAGAGCGCCCCTGTCTTATCTGCCGTCGGCCAAGGACCGAGGTTGCCGGGTTTGAGGCGGTTTTGAGGGCCTTAGCCCTTTAGGGTTTAGGGTTTTAGGGCTTGCGGGTTTCGGATTTGGGCCTAGCCCTGAACCCTAAACCCTAAGCCCCAAGCCTTAAACCTTAAACCCTAAACCCTAAACCCTACGCCTCTAAGCCCTAAACCCTAAAACCCCAAACCCCAAACCGTTGTCCCAGTACCTAGCTTCGTCTCGAGACCTCGCCCTGGCATCGCCCGATATGCCAGCGGAGATCCCCGAACAGTGAAAGACGCCGGGCGACTGGGTTCTTGCTAAAGGATTTAATTAAAGCTACCCTAATGGGGATTTGTAGAAAATCTGGTTTCTGCAGGTGACCAGCCAAAAACCACCAGCAAACCCCAAGGACAACATGCAGAGAACACTTGGAAATCATGTGGAATCATCACAAGACCACCCGCCAAGAGCACTACGACCAGGAGACCACCAGCAGACCACCATGAGGAGACCACCAACAGACTTCTAAAAGACCGCCAGAAGACCAGGACCACCACCACAGCAAAAGACCACCAGGAAACACACCAAGAGATCACCGGAAGACCTCCACAAGACCACCGGGAGACCACCAAGAGCCCAGCAAGAGACCACCTAAAGGATCCGGACCAAAAACCCAAATGATCCGGAGCCCTTGAAACAACCCCTCAGCGAATCCTAGACCTAACACCCCCAGCTTGGAGAAATCCAGATTTGAGGCCTTTCCTTTTGGCCATCCATGAGGCATGAATCCTTTCGTTTCATATTGGGTCCGGGGGTTAGGGGGGTCTAGATTTACAAGGCTTCATGATCTAAGCTTACTTTCTTGGCTGCTCATGTCTTGAAAAAGGGGTTCGGGAAATCACGGTGTTCCGTAGTAGGGCTTGGGGGGGTGGGGTTCAGGGGTACGGATTTAGGAGCTGAGGTTTTGGGCTTTACGGAACCCGTGATGTAATGGTTCTGGTTTCTATAGGGTTTTTGTAAAGGTTCGACAAGGATCCAATATGTGGCCCTTAGGACTTTCGGCAGAGTTGGATTTTGGGTTAGGTCTTCGCATAATGATACGGTGGCTAGAAGGGGATAGTATGAATCTTGTTTCAGATTTCTCAAATGTCTATCTTAGTGAGAAAGTCGGATGACGGGTCTCTTTGTAGTTCAAGGAACATGCCTCCTCACAAAAAGGCCTTGCTTGTATTTTAAGAACGAGCATGCCTCTTTTTAGGAGGGTCGGGGGGCGGTTAACAGAGTAATAGAAGCCCGAAAATTACCAACAGGATGATTTGGGGTTCCTTCTGATAATCATACCATGACCTACCCCTTATCCTAATCATGAGGACCCTTAACTATTGGGCGTGCTGGCCCGCAGATCCAGCGGGCCGGTTCCGGCCGAAGTAATTCCTCTCCAAGCACGAGATTTATGCAGTTGAGTTTATGTGTGGTCTAAGGTATAGGCGTAGGGTTTAGGGATGAAGGTAAGGGTTTAGCCTAAACCCTTACCTTCACCTAAACCCTAAACCCTAAACCCTAAACCCTAAAGCCGGTTTAGGTTTGGAGTACAGGGTTCGGCCTGCCTGCACATCTTTTCAGGGGTGAGCCTGCGCATCCGCTTGGCCTTGGCTTTCGGCATCGCCCATTGAAGCTTGATTCAAAGCTCGAACCCTGAACCAAGTAACCTCCGAACCCTGCATTGAACTTGTCTGGAGTCTGGAACAGCAAGCCCTAAACCCCCAAATTTGTTCCTGCAAGAACCGGTTTGCCTAAACCCTAAACCCTAAACCCTAAATCAAGCTTCATAGCTGCCTCGCAAGACTCCTTCGGAAACCCAAAGCTCAAAAGAATCACTGCAGAGGCCATCCAAGGCAATGATGCCTTGGCAGAAGTCAAGCTGGTCGGCGTGATGCTCAGCCCCTAAACCCTAAACCCTAAACCCTAAACCCCTAAACCCTAAACCCTGAACCCTAAACCCTAAACCCTAAACCCTAAACCCTAGTGACGGCAACTTAGGGGTCTGGGTAGGTAACCTGTGTATATATACATATATATATATATACATATATACATATATATATATACACATATATATATATACATATATTATTATTATTGTTAAGATGTAGAGATATAGAGAGGTATGAATACACACACACACACGCATATATATATATATATGTACACACATACAAATACGTATATATGTATGCATGTGCAAGTAAGTACATAAGCAAGTAAGTAAGTAAGCATGAATGTATGTATGTATGTATGTATGTATGTATGTATGTATGACACCCGATCAGAACTAAATGATGAAGAAATATCTGGGCGAGGCTGTTCAGTCGATAAGATGAGAGAATCACCCTAAACCCTAAACCCTAAACCCTAGACCCTAAACCCTAAACCCTATTCTAACACTCGGGCCGGGGTCTTCTCCCAATGGGCCGGGTGCGTACTTGGAAGAGCCTTGAAAAGCCTAAGCCCAAGCCCCAATAAGTTCTGAGCAAAAGGGCCGTAGGGTTTAGGGTTTAGCATGTACTATAGAAGCCTTAATAATAATTACCTGTGCTATGCATAGAGGAAACGTGATTTAAAGCATCTTCCTTAATGTATGATTCGGTGTCTGGGGCTATACTACAGCAGGAGTCACAACAAGGATTCAACGGAAGACCTGGAACGGATGCTAACACAGGCACTCAGGACCTCTGATAAGACTGTTTGGTGTGTTAGGGCTTAAGGGGTTTAGGTTTAGTGTTTAAGGTTCTGGTTTTTGGCTGATGGTCATGTGTTTCAAGATTGAAAACCAGCAAGAGACACTAAGCACCCATGCCAGTTGCTTAGAGGCAGAGGGAAGGAGTCGGATTCTTCGTCTGAAGGGGTCTCCTTTAAAGGGATCTGCAAGACCTTCTCAGGACTCCCCAGGCGCCCTTGAATAGAGCCCCTTATGGTCTTTGGCTTAGGGATGTTTTGGGTTCAGGGTATAGTGGCTGCTTAGGTGTACCAGAGGCTAACTGTTGGTCCTCCCCTTGGAAATGGGGCATGATGAATGCTGCAGCTTCAGCAGGCCGAAGACAGTTTAGGGTTTAGGGTTCAGGGTTCAGGGTTTAGGTTTTTAGGGCTTAGGGTTCGGGGTTTAGGGTTTTAGTGTTTTAGGGTTTAGGGTTTAGGGTTCCATACAAGCCCAAAACCTTCAGAGCCGTTTAGCTACGCCCGCAAGGTCGGAGTGTCTCGTGAAACTCCAGGAAACCACAGCACTCGGAGTGCAACTGTTGACTTTAACCACCAGTCCCGCAAGCTTTATGGGTTTAGGGTTTAGGGTTTAGGGCATAGATCCCAAACCGTGAGTAGTCCCAGAACCTCAAGAGTGAGAGTAGTGCTGAAGACCCCCAGCATTGGAGGGCAGAGGCGTTGTTGGCTTAAGCTTTAAGGCGTTGCAGGCCATGTGGGGCTCTGTCAGCCAAAGCCTCTGACCTGTCACTTCTATCTCTACGTCATCCGGAGTCCTATAGGTGCCTCGCGCTCTCAGTGTGTTGCTGCTAACTCCTTGGAGGTTTTTGAAGCCCATAACCCTGAATCCCTAAGCCCCAAATCCCCAAACCCTAAACCCTTCCTTCACCTTCAAAGGAATTTTTAACCGAACCCTTAACGGAATCTGACCCTAAACCCTAAACCCTTAAACCCTAAACCCTGAACCCTAGACCCTGAACCCTAAAACCCTAAACCCTGAGCCCTGAACCCTAAACCAAGAACCCTAAACCCTAAAACCCTAAAACCCCTAAAACCCAAAACCCTAAACCCTAAAACCCTAAACCCTAAAACCTAAACCCTAAACCCTAAAACCCTAAACCCTAAAACACTAAACCCTTAGCCCTAAAACCCTAAAGCCCTAAAACCCAAAACCCCCAAAGCCCAAAGACCCTAAAGCCCTGCACCCCTTCACGTAAGGAACCCTTCGACAGAAGCCGGAGCCCACGCTCCCCCGAGGATCGGATCGCATCGAGGGGACCGTGAAGGAAGCCGCGGGCTTCTTCGCAGAGGCTCCGGTTTTAGGGTTTAGGGTTTAGGGTTTTAGGGTTTAGGATTTAGGGTTTAGGGTTTATGCGGGGGTTAGGGCTTCTTCGCAGAGGCTCCCGGGAGCTAGAGGTTTGGGGTTCATGGGGGGTTTATGGGGGTTTAAGGGGGTTTATGGGGGTTTATGGGGGTTTAAGGGGGTTTTAGGGTTTAGGGTTTAGGGGGTTGGGGTTTATGAGGTTTGGGTTTAAGGGGGTTTAAGGGGGTTTTAGGGTTTAGGGTTTAGGGGGTTGGGGTTTATGGCGGTTAGGGTTTACGGGGGTTTTAGGGTTTAGGGTTTAGGGGGATTAGGGTTTATGGGGGTTTGGGTTTCAGGGGGCTTTAGGGTTTAGGGTTTATGGGGGTTTTAGGGTCTAGGGTTTAGGGTTTAGGGTTGAGGCTTCAGGGTTTCGGGTGCAGGGGTGCAGGGTGTTTAGGGTTCAGGGTTTAGGCTGTACTGGGGCCTTCTAGATGAAGCTTTGTGGTTTGGAGGTTCTACAGGAGCTTTGCAAAAAGAGCTTGCCCGAAGGATGGGGGGGGGGGGAAGTGCAAGACGAGAAGTAGGGTTTCCAGGCCTCTAAATGGGGCTTTTGTTCCTTACTTTACTGACAACCTAAGTCCCCCACCAGAGCAGCGAAGGCATTCCTGCCAGGCCCGAAATATCATGGCCCCACAACCACGTTGTAGGCCTTGCCACAACCCCCTTGCCCCCACCATCTCTCAGCCGATGCCTCCTTCCAAGGACCTTACACAACCCGTATTTGGCTCTTATTCAGCGTTCATGACTTACATGATTTGGGGTGTAGGGTCCAGGGTTTGTGACGCCTTTCTAGGACGCTTGCAGTAGTAGAGTCCGTAGTTGCCGAGTCCTGAACAGGAGGACAGATCCAAGCAGTCGGGTGCCCAGCGGCCATTTGCTGACCACGACCCTCTGGCTACAGAGCCGGCGGGTTATGTAGATTCATGTATGGGCCTGAAAAATTAAACGTTAGTACTCCTTCGGGTTGCTAAATATGAACATGCCAAGATCTACACCAGCACCAATTCTGTGCTTTTGGGGTGTAGAGGCGACAGTATAGTATAGGATTTATAGATCACCGGACTTCAGCGTTGTCTGTTTCCCCGCAGCCCTACGTGTAAACCAAGAGTCCTAGATGCAAATCTCGAGGTCAACCCTAGAAATGGCGAGTTTGGGTTACAGGTAAGGGCATATACTAAAAGCTTCCCTAAACCCTAAGCCCAAAACTCCAAGCCCCGAACCTCTAAACCGCTAAGCCCTAAACCCTAAACCCTGCGCTCTAAAGCCTCTGAAAGCTACCCCCAAAACCCTAAGCCAACCCTAAAACCCTAAAGCCCTAAAACCCTAAAGCCCTAAACCCTACAACCCTACAACCCTAAACCCTACAACCCTAAACCCTACAACCCTAAACCCTAAAGCCCTAAAACCCTACAGCCCTAAACCCTAGAACCCTAAACCCTAGAACGTTAAACCCTAGAACCCAGCTGGGGAACCCTAAACCCTCGGAGCTTCTGATGCTGTGACACAGAGGCCTGACTAGTTGATAATACTAGGGTTTAGGGTTTAGGGGTTTTGGGGTTCAGGGTTGAAGGTTTAGGGTTCAGGGTTTAGGGTTTAGGGTTTAGGGCTCCGAAAGATTGCCTGATGCAATTAGAGGCTAGGCGGCTAGAGGACCCCAGTTTGATTGCGGAGGCCTTTAAATCATGTAACCCGATACTTGAGAACCTCCTATCCTCGGCTTGTTCATGAGGGGTTCTACATTAGGGTTTAGGGTTTAGGGTTTAGGGTTTAGGGTTTAGGGTTTAGGGTTTGGGAGTCCAGGAGTCTTGCTGGGCTTTCGGTGTTGTGCAGAACGTTTGAAACCGAAATATTTCGCGCCAGTCGCCGTAAACCCTAAGCCCCTGAAACGAAAAAACCAAAGGTGTTGGACCTGCTGTGCTTGTGTAGGCCTCCGATGCGGTAGCGCGGTAGCCGAAAGAATTCTCTTTGTAGTGGAAACAGTTTAAACTTGACATCCTAAGCTCTAAAGCCTACACCCTCAACCGTAAGCCTTGAACCTTGATCCTAACCTAAATCCTAAGCCCTAAACCCTAAACCCTAAACCCTAAACCCTAAACCCTAAACCCTAAACCCTAACCCTAAACCCTAACCTCACAGTTTTTGCCAGCCGAGGCCTTCCATCTTCTCCGTGATCCGCGCAGTCGTTTCCCTAGCTTTAGGGGTAAGGGTGTAGGAGTCCAGGGTTTAGGGCCGTTTTGGGTTTAAGGTTTTGGGTTTAGGGCCGCTTTGGGTTTAAGGTTTAGGGTGTAGGGCCGCTTAGGGTTTAGGGTTTAGGGTTTAGGGTTTAGGGTTTAGGGTTTAGGGTTTAGGGTTTAGGGTTTAGGGTTTAGGGTTTAGGGTTTGCGGGGCTCCGAGTTCTGTGGTGTGGGGTTTCGGGTACCCTGAAATGGTCCTTCACAGGTTCTATCTATACTATAAAGTTCGTTCAAGGGTTTAGGGTTTGGGGTGTACAGGGGTGGAGCTTCGGGGCCGAAAGAAAGGGTTTCTAAACAGGGCTCTTTAAGGGTTGGGTGTTCATACGAGTTGCGAAGCTGCAGGGTATTTACATTCAGATTCACTGTGAGGGGGCCCGTAAAGACCTACATGTGCAGGGCTCCTTATCACGATTCCTTTTTTATGTCCCCAGTGCAGTTTAGTAAGGCGTGTGTGTTGCGGTTCAGGCATTGGATGGCTCCCATCGTTACTCAACCGTAAACCCGAGCTGCTCCCGACTGCGACTGTTGCCACCACCATGTGGATTGCTTTGGGTTTGTGCCTTAGCTCTGACATGATTGACATGACTCGCCCAGTTGGTGAACCTGTTCTCTTCCGATGAGGATGCCCATTTAGGCGCGCCGAATAATTCGGACGTGCTTGGAGCCCTAAATACCACAGGGGGCTTGGTCATTTCATCAAGACTCCTACGCTGAGGCCTTATAAACAACATTTTGAACAAGACCGCCCTGAAGCCGAAACCTCGCTATAAGCCCAAAACCCAAACTTGACACACCCTAGAAAGCCCTGAACCGCATAGGAACTAAAAAGCAAAGGGCTTATGCGCCTGTGATATCACTATTCCGAATGGGGTTCGGGTTGAGGGTCCAGTAGAGGGGGTTGAAAAGCGCAGAACCACGAGCTCGGGGCCTTGTTCCAGGGTTTTCCCATGCTTTGTTCATACAAATATCAACCCCGACACCCTGGCCCTAAAACCCTAAACCCCTAAACGGCGGAATTTGAGATTAAAGCCCCAGTTCCTGATGTCTTGGATTGGTAGAGGCTGAGCCGCTCCTGTGACCTGCAGCCATTGCCTGTTTTGCGGCTATGACTTGCTGTGCTAATATAGGCGCTTAAATAATTGCCACTACTTTTTTCGGCGTTCCTTATTATAGTTATAGTAAATGTACGCAGGAGCCTATTCTAATCATTAAGGCCCAATACGTTAAGTATTTTAAATGCTGCGCCTCGGTGGGTCGTATTTCGATTGCAAGGGGTCGTATTTCGATTGCAAGGCGTTGCGCTGGACATGGGGCACCAGTTGTTGTAGTGTTGCTATCACTGCGAGCAGAAGCTCTCGTGTTTTTACTTTTTTACGGCCGGTGCAAGCAAGACTGCTGATTGCACTAGCAAGAGTGTGAGCAGTATTGTTTGCAAGGGTTGCAAAACAAACAGTAGGACCAATAGTCCGTTAATCAGGATCATGCTACCAGTAGTTGCAACAATTACAAATGTAAGGCCCGGCTGTTGCAAAGATTCGAACGTTGATCACCATGCCCAGCGAAGCTTTCAACGGGAACTACGCTCCTGACCGCACCCATAGGCTGAGCCCCGGTCCCCAGCAACTTTGGAACACTCTCGCAAAAGCATGTGTAGCACTTACGAACCCTGCAAAGTGCCGAGCGCCAACAACCAAAAGCCCTAAGCCCGAAACCCCGTAGAGCCCTAAAGCCCCAAAACCTAAACCCTAAACCCCTAAACACCGAAACCACAAGCCCTAAACCCTAAACCCTTCAACTGCCTCTCAAAGAAAGAGCCCAGTTCCGAACGCCAGGTCTTTATGGAGCCTTCGGCTACGACCTGGCCTTCCAGTTCGAGCAGGCAGCGCCCTCTGGACTTCTCATGTCATGTAAGAGTTTAGGGTTTAGGGTTTA